TTATTACATGTATTTAAACAGTCAAAATATTTGAAGCAAAATAAGTCAAAATATTAGAAACAAAGAATGTAAGACATGGGGACACAACAGCCCAGATCACCATTGTAGCCACCATTCACGATGTTCCTGTCAGCCCATTTCTCCAGCCTGTCCAGCTTCCTCTGCATGGCAGCCTGCCTTCAAGCGTACCAACTGCTGCCCCTGCCCCATCATCTGCAAATACTGTGAGCAAGCATATCAGCTGCCTCCTCCAGGTCACTGATAAAGATGCTAAACAGAACAGCTGCCAGGATATATCACTGCAGTACTCAGCTTGTCACTGTAGGGTGACCCATTAGCCACTACCCTCTAAGTCCAATCATCCAACCATATTTTTACCTGTCTGGTTGTCCACCCATCTAGATCAAAATGTAACAACTTGGATATATGAATATTGTGGCAGACAACGTTGAAAACTTTTCAAAAGCCAAGGTAAATGATATGCATTACTATCTCTTGCTCACAGATTCAGTCATTTTAATAGAAGATGCAATCAGGTTAGTCAAGCATGATTTACCCTTGGTAAATTGATGTTCACTGCTCCCAGTTAGCACCTTCTCCTTCACATGCCCCAAAATGTGTTTCAAATAGGACTTGCTCAACAATTTTCCCAGGGACCAAGGTGAGACTGATCAGCCAGCAGTTCCCTGGGTTGTTCTTTCAGTCTTCTATGAAGATGGGTGCAAAAACTGCCCTCCTCTAGTCATCAAGGACCTATCCTGATTTCCACACTTCAAAGGTGATAGAGAATAACCTTGCAAGGACATTGGACAGTTCCTTTAGCACTGTGGATGCAGCCTGTTGATGGGCTTGTACGGGTTGAGTTATCTCATATAATCCCTGGCTCAATCCCTGTCTATTACTGGTCATTACTTTTGAACATGTTAACTGATCACAGAGGTATGGGAGACATTTTAAGTGCGGGCTGAGACAAAGAAGGATCTGAGTAACTCAGCCTTATCTGTGTCTGTCATCCCTATATCACCTACCCCACACAGCACCAGGCCCACATTTTCCTTGGTCAGCTTTTTATTACTAATGTGCCTGTGAAAGCTCTTGTTGTCCTTGATGTTGCCCGCAAGTCTCAACCACAGCTGAGCTTTGACTTTTCTGATACCAATCCCTACTCGCCCAGGTAATGTTTCCAAATTCCTCCTTTAGCCTGTCCCTGCTTCCACCTCCTGTATACTGCCTTTTGATACTGGGTGCTGCACTCCAAGTTCCCTGCTTATCAATCTGGGCTCCTCATAAATCTACACATTTTCTTGCATATCTGGATGCTCTTGGGCATGAAGGAGGCTGCCCTTAAAGACCTTCCAGATTCCCTGAGCTACTTTGCTCTTCAGAGTTGCCTCCCACGGGATCACACCTACCGGTTCCCTGAATAACGCAAGCTCTGCTTGTCTGAAATACAGGGTCTACACTTTACTTGTTCTCTTTCTCATTCCCTTCGATTTTGAACTTCACTATTTCACAGTTGCTAAAGCTAAGGTTGCCACTGATGATCACATTCCTCACCATTTTTTCCTTATGAATGAATAGCAGCAGATTCACAGTAACACTTCTGGTTGACACAGATAGAGAAAAAGGTGGACAACAGACATACAGTGAATAAACAACAACAGGACAGCTATTATGGTATGAGAGTTCAGCAGAGGACTCCTATATGGTGGTCAATGAACAGCAGCAGGAGTTGACTGATTATCTTTATAAAGGTGAAGAAGAGAGGATGAAAATTGAAGGATGAGTGTATGAAAACCCATCAACACAAACAGACAAGAAGTCCTCAGAGGGAAGCACTGAGAAGTGTAGCCAATAGTACGATGCAAGCATCCCACCAAAGGAGACACAGCTTGCTGTCTGAAAGTTGTGCTCCACTCAGCAAGCTTAATGGGTGAAAGCAAAGACATGAATAGCTGTGGAGTCAGAAGAATTTTTAGTAGAGCTTCTTGCATTATAAAGTAGGCATGGAAGCTGAAGAAACAGAACAGTCAATCACAGTCACAGAGCCTGGAAAACAAGCAATGACTCAGAACTGAGAAAGACATACATTGACCAGCAGTAATGAGGAAGAATGCCCTGGAGAAAGAAAAGGGGCAATCTGGTGTGCGATCATGTTTCTCTAAAGGCAGATGTGGCTTGAAGTAGAAACCAAGACACAAAATTAGAAGTATGTTAACAAAACTTAATAATGACAAATTTGGTGGTATTGTCAATACAAGGCAGAGGATAGTACAAAGAGTATAAGGAAGCTGAGAACTGTATAATAGAAATGGGATGAACAATAACATTACAAAGCACAAGATCATGTTCCTTAGAGTCTATACCAACAATTCCTACTCTAATATGGGAAATTGCCAGTTACAAAGAAAAGAAGTAGAAATATTTATGAGTACTAGTCAGTCATAGAATGACTGCATGCTGTATCAATGCAGGAAGGCTGTAATAAAGAAAATCTGATCGTAATGGGGTATCACGACCTCTTTCCAGTAGACACAAAAATGCATTAATTTTATGCAAGTATCGGTGATGCTGGTAATCTAGAATACTATGTATAGTTGTGGTCTCCTGAGAGGTAAAATTAAACAAGTTCAAAAGGTGTGAAATTAGCGTGGAACAGATACAACGAAGGACTGTGATGATTAGAATCATAGGGAGGCACTCTTACTTGGAAAACTGAAACCACTTGCTTTGCTGAGCCTAACCAAAAAAAAGTGTGGGAGCTGCCAAATCTAAAATATTTCAGAGGTAAGGAAGCTAACTAGTCTTGAGACAGCAACTGTGTGACATGGCTTCTATGGCAGGTGAATCAAACTGGATGTGCCAGGAGGTCCCCTGGGGTTCGATAATCCTATCTTCCTATACACAATAGTTTGCTAGACTGAACTGTTCTTGTACAATTATATCTATGCAAAACAAAGTCCTTGTCAAATAGCTAAACCGTAGAATATGTGCAACCCTTCCCAGCTAGAAACATGCTGCAATGCAAGAGTCTGGAAGTCCAGTAGCAGGGCATCCGTGCAATTTCCTGACTAGCATAGTAACCAACACTGAGAACTCACCTCATTTTCCATCTTCTATTATGTAAGCTGGTTCTCAAGAGTAAAATGTGTTTAATATCAACACCTCTTTCCATCACAGTTACCAGAAAACAAGAGACTGCAAAAAGCTTGTGGAAACAGATGCCCATTGGCTGGAAAATACTCTAGAACTAGCTTTGGAAAGCTAGAAGTTTTACCCTGTGTTTTGCTTGCTTTCAATATCCACCAGTGCAAATCTTCCACTTGACAGGACACTAATGTACACAGCATCTTCCCATCTCATGACTGGTGGGAGTTAGGAGGTTCTGATACACAGACAGCAGCCTAATGGAGTACCTTAATTCAGACACAAAATCGTATCATTGATACCACCACTTCAACTGCACTCATAAAACTCTATTGCAGACAGGACTCTAGCAATTTGTGTTGTCTAATCATTGCATCAGTTAAAATTATTGGCTGACAGCAACAAAGATACTGAAAGGCAGGAAGACTTGGTAACAGCATGGTTCTGAAAGGTGCTAGTATCTGTGTATAGCTTTTTGACATATCAGAAGGTATGCTCTACCTATTAAAAATTATCATGGATTTGCTAAAGAGGCGTAAGTCTCCTCTTGCCAAAGAATTTTGGTTACCTCTGTTCTATCTGAGACCTTTTCATCTTATAAAGGCACCAGGACAGAAAAGAAAAAAAAAAAAACGCCTTCAAATGGACACACGTTTAAAATGATAGTCTCACCATACAGGATATATAATTGTCTCTGAAAACAATTTGCGAGACAGAATGGCAGCTACCTGTCTTGTTTAAGAAAGTACAGACTACAAGCAAAGCAGGAATGAAACTTTCAACACAAACAGCATGGAGACTGCAAGTAGTTCATAGGTCTGAATTTCATGGTAGCTTAGTTCTTTCAAGACAGCAGCATGAAGAAACTGAATGGGTAACCTACTAAAGACTGTGCTTTCAGGGGGTGGCAGGAGTTACAACACGAGAAGTGATAATTTGGTATCAGGAGTATCAAAGTGGGTTCACCTTCAGTTGGTTGTAACTAGGTACCTTTGGAATGTCACAGAAGAGAATCTGAAGGTTGTCATCAAGTTTGGGTTTACACTAGTAGCTGAAGGTAGATTTGAAGAGGAAGTGGAGATCCACATACCTATGAAAGGAATTCTGAGCCCAGAAAGAGCACCAGAAGCCAAAGAAACTGGGACTACAGTGTGATGAGTGTGTGTGTTCAGAAGACTAAAGAACCTTGCTTTTTGGGAGCGTGTATGTTTTAGGGGAACTGTACTACAGAGAGTACAGGAACAGAAAGTCTGGGAATAATGAAAGAGAAGGAGAGTAGAGAGAAATGCTGATGTTTGAGAAGGAAGTAGAACATTTAAACACTAAAACCTAGACATACCTGCAAGGATAAGAGTTATTATCTGTCTGAACAGTACAGGCCCCTTGAACTCTGTTGTTTATATGGATTCACTCGTACTAAGACACAACTGCAAAAATTAGAACCTGGCAGGTCTACTGGGCCAGAGAGACCCAAGAACAAGCTCGTCTCCTGCAGGAACATCTGCACTCCGAACCAATTTTTGGCCAGCCTCAAAAATTGATCAAAAACATCTTTAAGATCCAGAGGGCCCCAGCATCATCAAGTCATGTACCTCACAGACCAGCACCACTGTCCATCCAGCAAGTGGCAGTGCTGGCACAGCTAACCCAATGCAAGAGGATGACAGGCCGGGTTGTACTCCACACTCCAGCCCCCAGCCCTAGCCCCAGCCTTGCTCTCTAGACTTTCACCCACTGCCTACTTACTTTTAATTAGATTTTAAACAAAAAGTGAAAGTATTTTCTAAAATCCCTCTAATTACTCTAAGATGCTGAACTGATTGTGAAGGGAATAGGAAATGAAAGCGACTCACCCTCTGAGGGAGAATTTTGTCAGCCATCTTCCTCCTCTTGGCACTGTACATTTTTTAAAGAAAAAAACACGTTACCATGGTGACAGATCTAGGAGTAACGAGGCCACCTGCTAAATTATCCTGACATCTCCACATGCTGGTGCACAGCTGTGCATGCAATCAGCAAAAGGGTCTCACCCATGCCCAGGACCTAGGACCCCCTTCTCTCAGCAGCCTGGGGAGGTAGTTAGCTAAGAACAATCAGAGCTGTCTGTTATGCATCTTGGAAAGAAAGTGCACAAGTTCTTTGATCACAGCATCTTCTATGGTGCAGGGCGGCAATGTATGCAAGTGCATGTGTCATGTCGTCTAATAGATACAGAAAGAGCATGGAGACAGACACTGCACATGTGTGGAAGTGTGCACAGACATACCTATGCACACACACAAGTACGAGGTGAGTGCCTGAACAAGTTCATGTTTTCAGTTTACAAACTGATCTGAGTATGTATTCATTCATGCCCAAAATTGAGTGCTGATGTTCATTTGCATATGAAAACACAAATATATGCAACCCTTCCCTACGTATACACAATTGTTTTATTGAGTGAGTGATCTACAAAGGTAAGTGAGTTTATGTCTCCATGCTTGTTCATCTTTATGGACATGTATGTGGGAAGATATCTGCGTTCCCTAGGGCATATGCCATAATGTGTCCATACCCAGACACAAGCACATTTACATATGTATGCTTTTAAAAACACTCCTTTTGTTCATATGCATACAGCCAAATTTATATAAGCCTAAGAAATGGTACTGTTAGGGAAGACTGCCAAATATATCATCTTTGAATTCCTCAGATTCTAAAAAGCATTTGTCCCATCAAACTGTCACCTAGCTTTCTCTAGCAGCCAAGAGAGAATTCAGGCCTTACTCTTCACCTCTGTAATTTGCAAGGCCTTTATCTTAAAGAGGAGATGAATCACTCCATCTGTGACAGAAAAATGGGAGAAAGACAACCGCCTGCTGCCAGTCTGCCATGTCACAAGGATGCCCTTCCTTATTTCCATCCTGAAAGTCTGTCATCAGCCATGTCCACATAAAGGCTGTTTCCACACACATCAGTGCAGCATACTCCCTTCCTGCATTTGCTAATAGTAAGCCTGGCCTGAAATAACAGATTCTTCATCTCCACATAAGCCAACCCTGAGAAACTCTGCTTGGAGGTGCAAACTACATCCTCTCTTGGGGTAGAAAATTCATTTACACAGTTGTATCCACTTTACAGGTGAACTATGTCTCTTTTTAAAGCACAGAAATAATGGGACTAGAATGTTACATGGTTTAAATCTCCAAGACCTTCCACAACTGACAAAAATCAAATCTGCACTGAACTCTTCAGATTCTGGAAGCAATGCCTGAGCAAACCGCATCCTCCCAAAGGAAGTGGAATATGCACCCACAGCAACCCCTATGCTTTCAGTTATAAAGAAAATAACAAACAAGGCAACCCCACAAAAAACATGGTTCTCAAAAGTTCTTCAGGAGTCTGTTACAGAAAGATTTACCTGCTTTTAGTCTTCTAAACCTGCCAAGAAAGGAAGATTACACCATCTTGGCCCTTTTGTGCCATACAACATTGGGCTCAATTAATCCAAGAATTGGGACCCAAGGTGCCAGAAAAGTTTGCCTGAAAAACTAGGAAAGTTTCAATGGGAAATGACAGGGAGGTAGAAATGAACAAGGGGAAAACACTGAAAACATTATCTGGAGGAAAGGCATGGCAGAAGAAACAGAGAAACTTTTCAGAGTACCTAACAAGCACTGGTGTAAGCTGGCCTCACCACAGTTGTGATTACTGCTGTAAACGTTAAAATTAAGAACTGGGAGGGGGAACTGCTTTCTTCTGTGGCTTTTGACATCAACTTTTAGGTAACAAATCTTCTTTAATGATCCCTGGAAACTGGTGAGTGAAGTTTAATTCAATTATCCAGTTGTGGCAATTTTTCAGGTTGTATATTTAAAGGCTAGGCATTATTTTCTGCAGTTTCCTGAAGAATCTCCTGGGAAGTGCTGTGGAATGTGCATTTTGGCTAGTGCTGGGCAAGGCCTCCATGACGCACATGTATCTCTTGTGCTCACATGCTGCACCCACACACATTCCTTCTGTATTTAAACTTATTCAATCTTAATATATTAATACTCTCGGTATTGGAGTCCTTTCCAGATGCATCCCAGATACAAACATTCCCAAGTCTGGCTTGCTGACCCAAGGCATACACCCTGGACAGAGCAGGGCTCCTGAAGCACTGAGCATAGGAAGTCACATTTACCTACAAGTAGATATGATGACACCACCAGAACAATGTCTGAATCTATACATACCTATAATGACTTTGCAAAAGGCAGACAGCCC